TAATGATGTTGTTCTTCAAACCTGTCCTTCCCGTATTAATTCCATTCTTATCCTCTACCACTGGGCAAACTAGAGTCATTCCTCTATTCTATTATTAAAACACTCACAGAATGAGAAATAAGGAAGAGTACTAGACTTAGGAATTATGGAACGAGTTCAAAATCTCACTTTTGCCATGTACTATATTCAGAAAAATCACTTTAATATCACTGAGTTTCAGATTTTCCATAACAACCATTTGGCAAGGATGTTAAACATAGGTTGAAGCATCAGAGGGGATTTTGCTTGGTCTCTTAGATTCCTTAAAATCCTGAAATTCTATATGTTTTTGATTCTGTCTAGAAAACAATAAGAAATACTAAGATAACAGAAGTGAAAAATATACCAAGAAAAGCAGAAGAGAAAGCTTAAAAAAAATCAAGAAAAGATTTTACTCATGGGGGAAAAAATAGGAAGGAAAAAAATTCATGGAAGTAGGCAAGAGTAGTAGATTGAAAGGAAAACCAAACTGGGAAATCAGCAAGTAGAGAAATGCATTAAAAATATCCCAATAGATTCTCAGCATAATTAATATAACATGATTTACATATAGATGGTCTTCACTTCCAGATCTGACCTAAAACCTCTGATGATTAAAAACAAGATACTGGTTATCAGTGCAAGCATTATTAGGAACAACTCTTTTGATTCTCCACAGGCTTCTCAGGAAAACTAAACAGACTTGACACACATCTAACTGTGACTTTCTGAAATGATCTGATATGACCTGTATCTTGATCCCAGTATTGCAGGCAATGGAATGACAGGCAGGCTGACAGTTAAAGCATGGATCAGCTACTTAATTATGGGATCATGGGCCATTTAATCAAGCTCCCTTAATAACAACTGCCTTATTAGTAAAAAATACATTATAAGAGCACAGAATAGACAGAGTTGTCTATTCTGGATCAGAACACTAAAAAAAATTCGTTTCTTTTCTCTGCATAGTTAGTTAACATATAATATTTAAAAATCTATAAATTCCTACCTGGTTAAAGAGTCATCTTCAGAACTCTCATCCACTATTAAAGAAAAAGGTAAAATATATTTTGAATCAACAAGAAATATAAAATATTAAAAGTAAACA